TGGGAGCGCCGCAGCCGACACACGCTCCAGCTGCTCGGGGCTGGTGGCCTGTCCCGCGTCCCCGAAGGTCTTACCTATCCACTCTCACCTGGTCGGCACCACCTCGGGGACATCGGCTGACTGTGCACTCTGGAAGCGCATTTTGGCTCGGGAGCTCAGGCTGTACAAGCTTCGACACCACCGCAGGCTGTCAACAGGGGGAGCTGCCAAACTGCTGTCCCACATGCTGCATCCATTCAAAGGCACGGAGCTGTGCGTCGCAGCCACACTGTGTGGATGGGATGGGGACGACGAAAAACACGAGCAACCAATTACAGAGAAACATGCAAATACTCCAACCAATCAAATGACAGCCAGCAATTCAAGCGGCCAATCAGCAGCAATTGTAGCCTCAGTGCCTCAACGTGCAAATACTCCAACCAATCAAATCACAGCCAGCGATTCAAGCAGCCAATCAGCAGCAAGTGTTGCCTCAGCGCCTCAACCATTGATAGCTGCTACTTCTCAACAAGTCGTCAGAAGTCGTTCGAGAATATGCGGCCCACGGGTTATTTATGTGTGCAGTGACGGTCTGCGCCTGCAGGGGGAGCTGTTCTCTGTGGGCTCGGGGTCTCCCTATGCATACTCGATCCTGGACAGCAGTGTTTACTGGGGAATGAGCGTACAGGAGGCCACTGAGGTCGCAAGGGAGGCCGTGTACCGCGCTACCTACAGAGACGCGTACTCGGGCAATAATGTCGATCTCTACCATGTGACCGCCAAAGGGTGGAGGCGCAGAGAGAGGGAAAACTTGAAAGAGGAGTATTACAGGGAGAAAGAGAGGGAGAGAGCGAGGGTGGCGGAGAGAAATGCTGAAAAGAAAGCTATTTTGAAGTCTGATGATGGAGAAATAGTTTGAGGAGGAACACAGGAGGCGGACTTTGGAAATATATTGATTTTAAAATGATGGTATTTTTTATAGCAAAGAAAGAATAAAAAGACAAGCATGTATTGATAATCCATAGCTCTTACACTGTAAATGATACTGTGAAAGAATAATAGTGGATTCAAGAAATGAATATCATCATGTTCCAAAACGGTATGATTTTCTGTTTCTGGAACACAAAGGGAGATGTTTAGCATGAATTTATACTTTTATAAATACTTTTATAGTACTTTTTTTCATTGCTGAAAGTCTTAAGCTCCAGCCCCCTTTTATTATGATTGTAACTGGCATTCAAAATGTCTGTTTGTGTAGGCTATAAAAAAAAAATAATAATAAAAAAAACGTTTGGAATTATGTGATTCAGGGTTGCAGATTTTTAATTTTTTTAGTAAACAATACTTTTTCATGAGCCCACTTTTCTGACCACTTCAAATTTAATTACTAATGAAGAATATAAAGTCAATTTACAAACTATAATTAAGTAGAAATGATCAGTTATTATAATGAAAAGAGAGTTATTGCATACTGATAAAACATTTTACAGTATATTCCTTTAAGGCTCTCTCTCTCTCTCTTTTTGTATTAATACAGTTACAGTAATTCAGACATAGGCCTATCTAGTCAGAAAATTACAAATAAAAATTTATTTTAAACAAATATTATTATATCGATATGACACTTAATAATTCACAAGCTCTGTCTTTACTGTACTGTAATGTAGGCTATTCAGCACATCTGTTCATGAATTCATGCTGTAATAAACAAAATGTCCATTGACAAGTGTGTATTTGATCTCTGCTGGGTTTAAAAAGTTTTCAAATAGCGGATGTCACATTTTTTCAGCAGAAGGCTTAAAAGCTTTTATATTTGTGCCAGCAGTCGAAGGCTCTGGAGGGTAAAGCATTGTAATGACCCCTACAGGAAACAGGAGGGATTGCTGTTTTTTAATATGTGCAGAAAATCTCAGTGCCAGACTGATCTCTACATGATTGAATCCCCCATAACTAATCGTTTGCTTTAAAAGTTCACATTTCACTTTTTTAAATTATTTAGCATCCCAGTAAAAGGCAAAAACATACATGTAATCCAAAAATTAGGGGTGTCATATGATGCTGTGTAATTTCTTGTTTAGTATTAAAAGATAATCAACAAAGTTCAACAACGAAATGTAAAAACAGATGTTTATAAACATTTTGAAACAATTTGGAATTTTCTTACAATTCCTCCATCTGTAATGTCATGTAAATATGGGCACTATCTCCTAATGATGCAGTGGTGTGTCTATAACTGATTTACCTGTATGAATTTGATTTATACGTAACACACAAATATATAATTTACACTTATTTTATACTATATATCAACTTGTGATTCTAGGAACACAACTGGTAGAACATGGTGGAAGCAATGTCTGATTCAGGGGGCTGATTACTGAGAGACATGATCAAATACACAGCTTGAATGCACTGTAAGTTCTTTGTAATATAAGTGCCAAGTGCAGAAATATTTCTGTGGAGGACAAATTTTAACTTTATGCAAAAAAAAAAAAAAATTTCCCACACCAAACTACACTCCATACCTACCCAATAATAACAAAGCAAAAACCAGATTATCAAATTTATTAAAGAGGAAGAACTGAAAGATCACATTGGCATAAGTATTCAGACCCTTAACTCAAGTACTTAGTTGAAGAACCCTTGGCAGTGCTTACAGTCTACGGTCTTTTTGGATTTGATATGACAAGCTTTGCACTCCTGGGGCCTCATTTATAAAATGTTGCGCAGAAACCATCCTAAATTTGATCTTATGATCATCTCTCAAATATGTGTACATGTGATTCACAGCATGAACGTACGCACAGTAAGCACAGTAAGCGCTTCTCTTTCCGATGTGAAATAATTGAATCCCAAATGATCTTGAACTTGCACCCAACTGAATGGTTTCAGCTCTCTGCCTTGTAAACGACTCCTAATTAATGTCATTAACATATAAAAGATCACCAGCATCGTCCAAATCCTTTCATTTAGAACAGCGAGCTGCAAGAACAGCTTACATTTCCAAAACCCTACAGTACTCCGACAAGAAAAAGTGTGTACATCTGCTCAGACCCTGACGTGACGCCAAGCACTTTTCCAAGTCAGCGGCAGTTTTTACAAATATGAGCGTTGCCGTGGATTTAAGCATACGCACACTCTAAGATCAAATCTGAGCGTACGCATGCTTTATAAATGAGGCCCCTGGATTTTGGGATTTTCTGGCATTCTTCTATGCAGATCCTCTGAAGCTCTATCAGGTTGGATGCAGGACTGTCAAGCAGACAGCCATTTTTAGGTCTCTCCAAAAATGTTTGTTTGAGTTCACCGCGATTTCTACCAAGGGGGACCGGGGCACTATTGTCTATTTTCAACCTGGGGTAGTTGAAAACGTATTCGGCTGGATTTCCAAGCCCTCACAGTAGTAATATGTACTCTTATCATATGCACCCTATGAGGTGAAGAAGGTACAAAGATGTCCCCCTAAGGGTACTGCCCCAGTGACAAGCTGTTGTTCCCCTAAAGTTATACATTTTGCACTTTTAGTAAATTTGCAAAGTCATCACAAGTCTAGTTTGTGAATAATAACACTAGTTACACTAATAACACTAGCCTTTATAAGCTGCTCTGACAGACTATCCAATGAAGGCATGTTCAGCGTGTGTTTAGAGGCGTGGTATCTCACGAGAGATCTGCATAATAGCAGTGTAGAAGGGCATACACACGACTCACATGAAACCGGTGTTGGCACCGCACGCTGCAGTCAACAACTCGAGGAGAAACACATAGAAAACAACAGTGAATAGGAGAAATTCAAACAAACAGAAGAGCAGGTAAGTACATGTTTGCTTCTCAAAATAATTCCCAAAAGTAATGTAACACTGGTAACATCTGGAGTGTTTCCGTGCTTCTTGTAGCTCATGTAAATATCAGGTAAATAAAACAATTAAGAGTGAGAATAATATTCCATACTTAAAAGAAGGAAAATGTACCTGGGTTGTTACAAAGTATCAATAAAGATGCCAATCAGCATCATCTTGTGTGAAAAGGCGTTTACTGTAGAGTTCTAGAATCATTGACAGCTTCTAGAACCATCCTGAAGAGGAATGCACCTGTTCAGGTAACCGGGCGTGTGTGTGACGGTGGCTGAGTAAATCAGTCTCTTTAATATCTAGTGGCATGAATTAATTTAAAAGTGTTAAAATGTAATGTATGTCAGAACAATGTAATAAACCATGAGAGAATAACTATGCCAAACTGATTTCATGAGAAAACATTATTTTATCAGGTGTCGATTTAGAATGAATTCATATGAGGTGATTTTTATGTATGATTCAAAAAATAAACGTGAAGGTCCACCCCACAAAATGTATGAATGAGATTGTACAACTTCATAAGATTTAGCCACCATTTCACCAAAGTGCTGAGTAGTTAAGAACTGCCATGAGAGTGTGTTGACGATGCTGAACTCATTCATTACCAGCTTTGCTCTTATTTTCTGTTGATTTCCACTTTCATACTAATATGTTCGAACATGTAGATTATTATATTATGACATATTACTCTATTATATTACTTAGATGTACATTTTGCTTCTGTAAACCTGTCTAAAACAATTTTTAATGTTCGAAGGTTTCAAATAGAACCATCAAAATTCAGCTGGAAATAATATGGAGAATATAGGAGAAAGTTAGAAAAAAAATGCATTCATGGTTTATTTCAAAGTGTATAAGGTCTGATATGTTTGTTTGTTTTAGTTTTGTTTTCAGGTTATTGAATGGAGTGATTTTCCTGCTGAACGGAGCCTAGACCAGCCAATCTGGTTGAGCTGGCGACCTTGAATGACCGCTGATGTCCTATATTATGTTCTGAGCGTATGAAAATGTTCAAAACATAATGTATACCCCTGCTGAAAAAAAACAGCTAAAACAAGGTGGTTGGCTGGTCTTAGCTGGTTTCAGCTGGAAGTAACTCGTTTTCCCTGTTGAAAAAAACAGCATATGCTGGTTAGGTATGTTTTGAAGCTGGGATGCTGGTTTAAGCTGGTCCTTTGCTGGTTTATGCTGGTCCTTTGCTGGTTTAAGCTGGTCCTTTGCTGGTTTATGCTGGTCCTTTGCTGGTTTAAGCTGGTCCTTTGCTGGTTTATGCTGGTCCTTCGCTGGTCATGTGCTGGTCCTAAACTGGTCCGACCAGCTTAAGACCAGCACATGACCAGCATAAACCAGCAAAGGACCAGCTTAAACCAGCATCCCAGCTTCAAAACATACCTAACCAGCATATGCTGTTTTTTTCAACAGGGTTAGTTGGTTTCCAGCCTGATCAGCTAAATAGGTCGACAAAACCCCTCTAACGCCAGCCTGTTGACCAACTATGACCAGCCAACCACGAAAATAAACCATGGTTACTACAAATAAAACCAAAAACCATGGTTACTATAGTTAAACCATGGTAACCACAAATTAACCATGCTACACTAACCACATGTTGTAAAACTGTGGCTATACAAATGGTAAACAATACGCCAAAAAACATGGTTAATTAAGGGCAGCTTAAGTAGGGTTTAGCTGTTTTTTTTTTTAAGCAGGCAGTCATTCATAAAAATGATTTTTTTTATGCTGGTTTTCACTAACTGTTAGTTCCCAACTTAGCTACACTGTCGAGCTGATTTACCAACAACAACCAAACTATTCCAGTGACGGAGCAATACTGCCTATCTATCAGTTTTATCCTCAGGAATTCACATGAACAAAGTTATGATGTTAGCTAAGTATTAATATAGTTAGTTATTATTAAAGGTGTTAATTTAAATATTTTCACTTTTAAAAACGCCTTATAACATAAAGGCAAACTACTCAAACTGTTTTGATAAAGTGGGTCACGAGCTTGAGTGTTCACTACATAGCAGGTTCTTAGCTTGCTAACTGTTAACCAAACGGCTAACAATACTACTATAATCACGATAATGCAACAAATAACACTTTTTATAAAACGGCAAGCATTAATTCAAGCATTGCAATTCATATAATCGGTCTTCATCTTTTAAGCTGGTTATCAACCAAATAATGAGTTTTGGTTTTCAGAAGTGAGTCAGCTAACGTTAGCATGCTAACAGTCAGTCTTTGCAGCTGCACCAAATGCTACGCAGCTCTGAATATTAAATGAAACTACGGAAGGCGGCGCAAACTCAGAAGTGAGTCAGCTAACGTTAGCATGCTAACAGTCAGTCTTTGCAGCTGCACCAAATGCTACGCAGCTCTGAATATTAAATGAAACTACGGTTTCATTAAATGAAACCACAAACAGATCTACAGAGATGAAATACAACAACACAAATTAATTGTCATAGTTACTGTAGCATGTCGTTGATATATATATTGATTTGAGGCTTTATAGGGACGTATATTCACCAGGATGGCCGAGTGGTTAAGGCGTTGGACTTAAGATCCAATGGACATACGTCCGCGTGGGTTCGAACCCCACTCCTGGTAATGAGTTTTCACTTTTATATCTATTATATTAGGATCGAAGATAAACGTGCACAACTGCAGTACATCACGTCAAATGAGAATATCAAACGATGCACAGAGAAGAAAAAAGATTTGCTCGCTGAATGCAATACTTTCAGTATAAAAGTGTTGATCTACTCTGGATAGATGCAGCGACTGCTGCTCACCATGACAAAGTGCATAAAGTAGGACACAGCAGGACACACACTTGCTAGATGAAAGAACAAATAAGAAAAACGTAAAAATTACTCGATATGGTGTTAAATAGGTGGTCTTATACTGCCTCCTATAGGTAAATGAAAGCTAACTTCGGTTAAATAATTCAAGATGTTAAAACAATATGTTTGACCAAAGGGTGAACAAATCTGAATAAGATTCAACACCTGTGTAGGCATAAAATGTTGTATCTTCTCTGATCTGTAATTATTTATATATTGCTTCTGAAATATGCTATTTTTTATATGTAGCCTAGGCTACAGTTTACTAGAGTCGGCATACACATGGTTATTGCATTTGAATTTCTTTTCAGTCTATCCTCCATCCAAATAAATGTTAACAACATTTAGAACGGCTCAGATCCTTCAAGTCCTGTAGGTTGTGAGGTGGAGCCTCCATGGTTTGTTGGTCCAGCACATCCAGCTCACTCAAATTAAGATCTGGGGAATTTGAAGACCAATGCAACATCCCAAATTCTTTGACATGTTCCTCAAACCATCCCTGAACAAGTTTTGCAGTGTGGCAGGGTGCGTTATCCAGGGAACACCATTGCTGTGAAGGGGAGGATGAGGTCTGCAACAGTCTTCAGGAAGGTGGTCAACACAGTAACTTCCACATGAATGCAGGACCCAAGGTTTCCCAGCAGAACATTGGCCAGAGCATCACACTGCCTCCACCGGTCTGCCTTCTTCCAATAGTGCATCCTGCTCCCATCTCTTCCCCAGGTAAAGAATGAACATTCACCTGGCCATCCACCTGATGTTAAAGAAAATGGGATTCATCAGACCAGGCAAACTCTTCTGCTGCTCCATGGTCCAGTTCTGACGCTCACTTTGGCCATTGTTGATGGTTTTGGTGATGGACAATCTGATGGTCTGATACAGAGAAGAAAACTGCAGTACATTTATCATGGCCAGCATTACGTTTTTCAGTAATTTGAGCAAGGTGGTCAACACAGTAACATCCACATGAATGCAGGACCCAAGGTTTCCCAGCAGAACATTGGCCAGAGCATCACACTGCCTCCACCGGTCTGCCTTCTTCCCATAGTGCATCCTGCTCCCATCTCTTCCCCAGGTAAAGAATGAACATTCACCTGGCCATCCACCTGATGTTAAAGAAAATGGGATTCATCAGACCAGGCAAACTCTTCTGCTGCTCCATGGTCCAGTTCTGACGCTCACTTTGGCCATTGTTGATGCTTTTGGTGCTGGACAATCTGATGGTCTGATACAGAGAAGAAAACTGCAGTGCATCTATCATGGCCAGCATTACGTTTTTCAGTAATTTGAGCTACAGTAGCGCTTCTCTGTGATCGGACCAGGCGGAATAGCATATGCTCCCCATGAAGTGCATCAATAATGAGCATTGGATGAACCTGTCACCAGTTCAGTGGTTCTCCTTCCTTGCACCATTTTTGGTGGATGCTACCACTGCATACCTGAAACACCCTGCAAGACTTGCCATTTTGGAGATGCTCTGACCCAGCCATCTAACACCATCACAATCTGCCCCTTGTCAAAGTAACTCAGAACTTTTCGCTTGCCCATTTTCCCTTTCAGTTGAAGGCAAGGCAAGACAATTTTATTTATATAGCACATTTCATACACAATGGTAATTCAAAGTGCTTTACATAAAAGAAATGAAAAAAAAAAATAA